ATGGTCTATAGTATGAGAAAAATCTGAGAAATTAAAACAACACATTACTGGAAATTGTTCACATCCCATGTGATTTTTTTAACAGTAGATAATCTACAGTAGCTCTATTTTGTAGCTACGCAAGTTTACATATATCCTTTTTCATTCCAGCTACCAAGCCAGATATCAATTAGAAGTTATTTTGAAGATCTTTCAGAAGATTAGATCAGCAAAGCTGGCACAGATACTTGTTTGGGGTTCAGTGCTAGCTATAAAACCTGGGCTGGGCTGTCCTTGCCCCTGAACTCCTGCAGTTGTAGAACAAAGAATGTGTTTTAGTTTTTAGGGCTAGCTCAGAATTGGGGTGTGAGGAGAGTAGAGAGTAGGATGTTCAGCTTTCTGCAGTTGTGACATTTTATCAGTCCCAAGATAGGGGTGTAACTATTAATAGTGGGACAGAAGTGAGGCATTTGTCTCTCAGAACCTTTAAGTGAGAAGGAATTCTCAGGTAGCATGGAGCAGGAACATAGTCTAAATTGGTCTCAGGTAGTGGCTTGGGGAGTCATACAGGCTGCACAGTCAGGGGATTCTGTAAACATTTTGGAGACAACAGTAAATTAAGCATATTGCAAGGAGGGGACAGGAAAGTGAGCTAGTCATTTCAGTCCTCATTGCTGGTGTCCAGGTCCATGGAAGTTGAGGCTTCTTCTTCTGGAGTCTCCTTCCTGCTTTCCAGGGGTCAGTGCAGCCATCTTTGCTGTGGCAGGCTCAGTTGAGCTGTCTGATATAGCTGAGTAGTGCCTATCTGGGGAAGGGGATAATTCATCTTCCTGAAAGACACAAGCATACCCTTGCTCCATTGTTAGTAAAGGATCTTGAGTTTTACTCCAGAGATGTGATTCATGATCCCCCCAAAGCACCTGTGGCAAGGGGTGTTGAACAGTTTGTCCTGACAATGCTTGGCCTTTGGAGAAAAAAGTAGAGACCTGTGCAATAAGAAATGAGGATTCTGTAATGTTATCCCAGGTATAGGCGATTCTCCCATTTTCATTTTATTCCTATCTGTTATTGCTTATCCTGTGGGGTTGTAAGGAATGCCAGGTCTATGTGTCATACCTGAAGTTTGGCAAAATTGTTAAAAATTTTAGTAGTATAGGAAGGCCCATGATCTGTTTTTATTTGATGAGGTATTCCTAAAATTTAAATTTTCATATAAGGGGTTTAACTACATCCTTTGTTGTCTCTCCTGTATGAGCCATGGCATTTAAAACCAAGTGTCGGGACTCAGGTTTGATTTGCTCAGCAGGGCACCTACTGGCTTCAGGACAGAGAGACTTGATTGGTGACAGAGTCTTGGACCCTAGGACTTGTGTCTTTTCAACAAGCAGTTTATTTCAAAGTTCAGATGAGTTTTATACATCCCAAGGACATGGCAGTCATGTGGGATATGGTAGTCACATACAAAGACAGGGTACAAAGAAACAGGACATGTAGTCTGTTAGTTGGCACCAGAAGGATGCAAAAACTTTGCCTCAACGTTATCAATGGCCATCCTGCAATTTATTGGCCATAATGTTTTCTTTCTTAGAATTAAAAGCATGGTAAACTTTTAGTTTTTAGCTCATGAGTCAACCTTTAACCTGGCCTAATCTCTTAGCTAAGGATAGCTGAGTTATTTGTTCAGGACAAGGAGATGAGCTAAGGGTTGGTGACCAAGATGCTATCCCACAGAGCAGGGAGCCTGCACTTATGACCAGGCTGCTTCCTCCTGCCAGCCCAACAGTGTTCTGCAAGGCAGGGATTATCAGAGCCACTGTTTTCAGTGCCCCTCCCTTTAGCAGAGAATGCAGCCTGGACCTATA